TATCGATGGCTCCAGTTTGGAACCAACCGTTAACGGTGTCTGCTTCGGTTTTACTTATGTCTATCAAACGTTCCATGGCGTTCTTTACTGCATCGAGCTGAACATCTATTAGCTGGTAGGTGATCTGACGTAGAGGAGGGATCTCGCCTGATACGTACATGAAAGACAACTCCTGAAAACCAAAATATTAATTTATTTACTGGAATGAAAGCCAATTCGCTATAAGTAATTTAAAAAACACTTATGAATGGATGGCCTGTTGTACAGGCTTGGCCACGGTGCTGACCTGCCGTCAGAATATGACAAAAATTTTTTGCAAATCAGCATGCTTTGCTACATCCTGAATACGTTAAAAAATCATAGACCTGAGCTGTAGATTGGGAAGAACGCAGCTTGTAAGCAAGCCACATGTCATGTCACTATACCATGAAATTAATTCCACTTCTTCACTCAAGCGATCAGATGAAGAAATCTCATTCCTGCGGTTGGTCAGAAAAAATCAAATTAAAACTCCGTTTAAACGCCTACGCTGTAAGAATTGAGCATAACAGTTGTAGTTCTCTGCGTTCTTTAGATAACCTGATTTTCAAACTTAAAAAGAGGCCGTTACGGCGCGGATCGGTAGGTTTAAGACCAGACAGCTGCATATAATGAACATTTAGAACGGCTGCAGGCTGGGGTTTGATCACCGCTATTTAGTCCAGTTGTCGAAATCAGGAAGGTTAGAAAATAACTGATGCTGCTGCCTGTGCGACCCGAATGGAATGACAGAACAATGCTGACGTCTCTCGAACAGAGATATTCACATCAAAATAATAATAAGCTATATTAATTACATGGTTCTTTCCATGAGGTGCTTCTCTTCCGTTTCGAATGCCTTCGGCAGAAACCAGCATTCGACTAATGTCCACTTTTTGCCACTCTCCGTTGGCTGTCATGCCTAAACCATAATAATAGCACAATTCTGTACTAGATGACAACGTCAAATCGTTACTATAAAAAATAACACAGACAAATATGGGAGAGAAGAGAAGAGATTCTTAAGATTGAAGAAAATATTTTAAGCGTTCATTGTTCTTACTGAGTACCGAATGTACGCAAAAAATGCTGCTGTCTCGCCGAGCGCAACTGACGACCTCACTACCGTGTGATGATGGGCCCGACTAGTAGCAAAACATCCATGAGTAGTAACAAAGTGAAACACTCAGTAAACCGACCGATGAATGGAGAAAATTTTTAATGATCAGGTAACATCAACAATAAACGATGGGCGAACAATCGATGGTGGGTGAAAGTTAAGTGCAAAAAATTGGAAAACTTCCGGCGCAGCGATTCTATGACTTTCACATCCACAAATGGCACAAATGACGTAACGTTTATCTTCCCTTTCCTGATATCAACTAAGCTTAACCTTTTGTCCTTCTTACCTATGAGCTGTAATTTTCTTTTCAAACGTTAGACGTCGGTCAGGGTGAACTGCAGCCATAAGGCACAAACATCACACAGTACGGACGTATTTGCTGCATAATTTTGCATGACTTAAATGCAATGGTGTTCTATTATTCGCAAGTCAACGATCTGCTAACCGCTAGGCAAATTGCAATGAAGCACAGTGGAGTGAATTCCTTGATCAAGGAATTAGCAGGTGATAGAGGAACATTTACACCGCACATCAGGTTTGAATTCAGCACCTATAGTGCAAAGCAAACTGCTAACTAACTGCGCTACTCTCCCTCCCATTATAAAATCTTTTATCGTTATATCTTTTAAAATTAATGCAGATAATGGCCAACCATCATTATCTCAGATCTTCAAAAATACAAGAATCTCGTGATCCATTTCCTGCTGGTATATCGTAGGACTAACAAGGCAGAAACAAAACAATCAGTGCTTTAACCAAAAAATGGAGAATCTTTTGAAGTTGCTCTATAGCGAAAGCAAACGCAGTACTAAAAATAATGGTCTGAACCTGGTCCTTTGCAGGAAGTGATCTCTTGTTAACCAAATCAACTACCTTTGTTGTATATTACTATCTTTGTCAAAAAGAACATTCAGGGCCATTAGGGTT